AAGACTGGGTTTCCAGTGAACACCCAGGGCATGGTTGTAGAGCTCTCTGCATATGTCTTGGTCAGAGCATCAGCCAAGGATGCTACCTTTTTATTTTTTATTTTTAGATTTTACTTATTTTAGAGAGAGGGGACAGGTTAGGACACATCGTTGCAAGAGAGACACATTGATAGGTTGGCTTTTGTACACGCCCCTACCAGGCACAGGACCTGCAACCCAGGCATGTTCCCTGACCAGGAATCGAACAGGCAGTATTTTGCTTTGAAGGACCAGCCACTGAGCCACACTGGTCAGGGCGCCAAGACTTATTTCCTGTGTGCCTGGAGCCCCATAGAGCTGGACACTGAGGAGGCCTCATCAGTGTTGGCTAAATAAACAAATTAAGGAAGGTGGGACCAGCTGTCAGTGCTGGCAGAAAGAGCTGCCCGATTGTCTTTATCTTCCTTGTCTGTTTGCAGAGAGTGCATCTGGACATTCAGGTGGGTGAACACGCCAACGACTACGCAGAAATTGCTGCCAAAGACAAGTTGAGTGAGTTGCAGCTACGAGTGCGACAGCTGGTGGAACAAGTGGAGCAGATCCAGAAAGAGCAGAACTACCAGCGGGTGAGTGGTTAGGCCAGGATCAGCGCGCTTCTCGGGAGCTGTCCACTGGCTCCGCCAGAAGTTACATGTCAGAGTCCTTATGAAACCCAAAAGATGCACCTGTTTTGTGCTATTTTGCAAGTCTAGAGGAGGGGGGTAGCTGTTACTTACTCTGTAATTGAGGAAACAGTCTCGTAAGAGGCTGTTACTGCCCTAAGTCACACAGTTGCACAATGTGACAGCAGGAATTGATACCAACACCGGGGATGCTATTTCTGTGGCTCTACGCACTGTCAGGACTGGGGGTTTCGAACTCACCTGTGTCCCGCAGTCAGGCAGGTTCCATGAATGGATCTATGACCATAAGGATTGGTAGGACAGCGACCTACCTCAATAGGAATGGCTCCTGTTATCAGCTGAGGACAGCCCTGCAGAAACACGGGCCTGCCCTGGGTTTTAAGAGGAGCTAGAGGTCCAGGTTTTTTATGTGGTAATTTCTTGGGTTTTAAATCTTGGCAAATACCACGTGAGTCAAACAGCATGTATGGACCAGGTCCAGCCCCTGGGCGACCAGTTTGCAACCTGTGCCCACAGTCTTCAAGGAGCAGTTTGGGAGGCCCAGACAGAGCAGGTCCACTCCTGGTCAGCTCTGCCTGATGATGATACCACAGCTACTTTACCTCTCTTCCAGGAACCAGGGTAGGACCAGGTGAGGGCTGTACCTGACAGATGAACAAGCAGACTTCAGTTGCCTGGGGTCATCTGGCTAGTGAGGGTGAAGACAGTCCCCGTGTGGAGTGGCTCTTTGCAGGCACTTGACTGGAAGCTGTGCAAAACTGGGTAGCCCTGGGGCATCTTCTGCGGTGGGAGGAGACCCAGCATTTCTAATGGCCCCAAGTGGGGCCCAGCCAACTCCGGCTCTTCCTCCATTCTCCCCTCCCACAGTGGCGAGAGGAGCGCTTCCGGCAGACCAGCGAGAGCACCAACCAGCGGGTGCTGTGGTGGTCCATTCTGCAGACCCTCATCCTTGTAGCCATCGGTGTTTGGCAGATGCGACATCTCAAGAGCTTCTTTGAAGCCAAGAAGTTGGTGTAGCCATCCTTCCTCCCAGGCTGGGGGAAAAGGGGCCTCCTGGAACTGATTTCTCCCTGGCAGGAGGACTGGTTCCCAGCCATGGATGTTCTGGAGAGGAGAGCGGTCACAGGCACCCCAGGCGCAAGCTGAGGGGAGCAGCTTGGCTGGCTAATACTGAGCAGGTGGTGGGGCAGATGCCTGCCCCCTCCCTGGGCTCTTGGCCTTTTGCAGTAATCTCCTAGGGGCTGCTGAAGCCACTGGGAGCCCCACTGGCACCTCAGAATCATTGTTACTGATCAGGGATATGAAGCCCTTGTCTGGGGTGGCTGGGGGAGGGGGAGTGGGTGGGCGAGCCAGTTTTCTTTTTGTCTTCCTTTGCTAACTTGGGATTTTGAGCAGCTTGGAGTATAGCTGTGATTCCCTGCCACTCTGAGAACCTCCTTGGGCCTAAACCCAGCCTGCTGATTGGGGCGGGGGGGGGGGGCTGTCGATTGAGGGTGGGATGCAGGGGGTTACAATGTGGGAAGGGGGTCCTGAGGTTGAGTCCAGGTTCTCCATCTGCTTGTCCTTTTTGAGGCTTGAGGAACTGGTGTCAGGGCAAGCAGAGGTCTTGGTGCTGGCTGGGGATAGGGCCTGCAGAGTCTTAGTTACTGATTTCATTTTCAATAAGCCTAGGTTTGTTACATTGGTTTCCCAATAAAAAAAAGTTGACTTCTTGTCCAGTGTAAAGTTACTGTACCATCAGTGGGCATAACACTTCAGGAATGTCAGTTCTTCCAAAGGGCAAAGCACTTCACATTCCAAGATACTCACCTGGGAACTTCACCCTCTTCATCCTCTTCATACCTTACCATGGCAGGGGGAGGTGGCTTAGCCCAAGACTGTCCAGCAAGCACATTGAGTTGGTGCTCAAATGCATGCCATTTCCTCTGTGCCAGCTCCCTCATGAATGCCCTCCCTGCCTTTCCAGAGTAGCTGGGCTCAGAGTAGGATTGTCCTAGTGCTGCAAGAAGTGCCTTGTTAGAAGAGGGTGCTTTCAACAGGAATGCTGCAGGTGTGGGAAGGACGGAAGTCCCCGGCTGGTAGGGATGAGAGTATCGATGGGCTTAACCAGCATGGAATTTTCGCAGGGATCTTGGAGGAGGGTAAGGGTTCTGATGGAAGGAGGCAAGGCAGGGGTGGCTGGGGAGGTCGGAGACCAACAGCTGGTGTGGAGATGGCTGGGCGTTGTGTCAGCTGGAGCAGAGGGCAGGGGTTGTGAGAATCCTTGAAAGGAAGGTTTAGACTTAAGAAGAGCCCCAGGTAAGAGAGAACCATGTTCAACAAAGCTTCGTGTGGAAGAATTCCCGGAGTATAAATTTGAGGAAGGTTGCTCAGCAGTGTTTGAGAAAGAAACGGTAGGGAGACAATTTGGGGGACTATTTGATCTGGGAGGATGTAATCTGAGCTTGTATTACCACCTATACCTCCACATTTAGAATAAACTTTTTTAGAATTACAAGAGAAAGTCTAAAGATAGTTCCCCCTATTAATGTCATGTGTCAGTATGGTACATTTGTTAGAAATTAATCAATCTAGCATTATGCTATTTTTAACTAAAGTCCATTAGTTGTTACCTAATGTCCTTTTTCTGTTTCAGGATCCCTTCTGTGATACATTAGATTTAGTTGCCTCTTTGGGCTTCTCTTGCCTGTAAGTTTCTCAGGCTTTCCTTTTTCTTTTCTTTTTTAATTACCTTGACAGTTTCCAGGAGTACTGGCAGAGTGTTTCGTAGAATTTCCCTCAGTCAGGATTTGTCTCCTGTTTTTTTCATGATTGGACTGGGGATCTGGGTTTTTGAAAGAAAAACCACAGAAGTAAAGTACCATTTTCATCCTGTCATATCAAGGGTTCTTAAAATCAACATGACGGCTGGTGTCACAGTTTAAAATTAGTTAATTTGGATTTTGGTGTGACCACAATTAGCTGGAGACCCTTTAGAAAGGCTTCTGTTTTTTAGGTCACAGACCCACCTCTCTGCTTCCATCATTGGCCTTACCTCACTTGTCTCTGCAGGGGGTCAGCTTCACCTCTGTCATTAGCAAATTTAAGCCGGGTTTGCTGAGGTTCCAGCATAGGGTGCAGTGCCCTAGGAGGGGTCAGCAGGACGCGGACCGGTGGGGTTGTGTGCTGCAGGCTTAAAGGAGAAGGGGGGTTACTGAGGACGATTAATTTTCCACCCATAGTGAAGTCCTCTTGGAAGCTGAGTGGTTGAGACCATAGACTGCAACCAAACTACCTGGGCTTACATGATGAATTGCCTCTGTGCCTCAGTTCCCCCATCTTTAAAGTTTGGGGTGATGAACACAATACAGAGTACAGATGTGGCATTGTGCACCTGAAACCTGTATACTTTTGTTAACCAGTGTCACCGCAATATATTCAGTAAAAAGGAAACAAAATTTTAAAAAAGTTGGCATAATCACAACATTCAAGGACTGAAGGAGGTAACATCAGGAAAGAACTTAGAACAAACAAGGACTGCACGTAGTAAGAACTCATTGGACGTTAGCTCTTCATTGGGAAACTGACAATTTGCCTCGCAGAGCACAGATCAAGTCTAATAAGCGCTACTCTCTCTTGCTAGGTGGGAAGCTGGCCCAGCAGCTCAGTTCCCATGACAGAGCAGATGAGGGAACTCAGTCTCCTTACAGGATTCCCTTCCTCAGTTCTCACCTAATCTCCGCCAAAGTACCCCCCTTTCCTGAATGATAGCTGCCATTTATACAGCGTTGACTATTATGCCCATCGCTGTGCCAGGTAGGGCACTTTTTCCTTTAATCCTCACAGCAACCATGCAGATTAGGAACAACCGAGTATATACTCAGGTGAGGAAACAGATGCAAAGCATAACGTCTTGCCCCAAAACACAACTGAATTGGCAGGTTTCGAATCCAGTCAATCTGTCTTTAGTGCCTGTTTCCTAACTCCATAGGGTATCAATTGAACCCAAGCCCAAGCCCTGAGCTTGGCTTTGTCTCCTCCGAGCTCGTTGCAGAGGAAGAATGCACCTGGGTTGAGAGCAGGGATGCCCAGATGCTCCCCGCCGTCCCTCGGGAAGAGGAAGAAGATGCAAATTATCCCAGGGCGCTCGTTTGGAAGTCTAAGTCCAGCTCCCAGCCCAGTGACTTAAGCCCCCTCGGGGATATAGTTTCTCCGGACGTTAAGAGGGGAGGACAGTTAACAGGTAGTCGGAATACTCACGTGTTCCTCGGCACGCGGAACCTTTGACGAGGCTGCTCGGAGTAACTGGCGGCGCAGCCGGTACGTAGGACCCGCCGGACCGAGGGGCGGGGCGGACGCGGAGGGGCGGGGCAGGAGGTGGAGGCGCCGCGTAAGCCGGCGAGGCCGGGCCCGCCCGGCTGGGAGCTCGAGCCCCATGCACCGCCGCCTCCCCTCACGATGTTCCCCTCCCGGAGGAAAGCGGCGCAGCTACCCTGGGAGGACGGCAGGTGAGCGGCGGCGGCGGCGGCGGCGAGCCCGGGCCCCATCTCCCCGGGTACCGACCTTTTCCGGGCCGCGAGGCGGAATCTGAGAGGACGAGGCCGTCGTGTCTCGTCTCTGCGTGGCGCTCTGGGGTCTGTGGTTTTCCCTGCGGGTCACTGGCTCTCTGTATTTGGGTGTCTGTCTCTGTGAGGGTGTCTTTGTCTGCCAGTCTACATCCCTCTGCGGATCTCCGTCACCCGCGGGTCTGTATTTCTGCGTTGACTTCCTTTTTTGAGTTTCTGTCTCTCTTTGCAAGTCACTTTCTCTCACTGTGGGTTTCTCTGGGTTTCTCCCCTGGCCCCACTCTATCCTACTGGTCTCTGACTCCGCTTGACCTCTCGGTGGATCTCTGTGTTTCCGTCTGTCCCTGGTCTGAGCTTCTGTATTCCGTTTCTCTGGTCTCTGCCCCCGTCACATCCACGTAGCCTCAGGCCCTCGCGCACCGCCTCCCTCCCGCTACCCCTGCCTTCGCTGGCTGCCCAGAGGAACACACCAGACAGCAGCTCTGTCTGCTCTCCTGGCGGGCCACGCCTGGCACGTGGTAGGCACTGGCCGCACAACACTAGTTCATTCCCTGCGCAGCGGGACTTGAATGGGGCCTGTTCCATGTGTTAGGCGTGGGCTTGGCCCAGATCTTAGCTGATGATGTTTCCCACTCAAGAAGAATTGGGGAGAGGGAGCTTGTTGGTTGTCTGCATTTGGGAGGACACTTCAGCTTTGAGCTGCGTCCCAAAAGCTCTTCTCACCTAGAACACATAGTGGGTCTCTGCCCAGTGAGTGACACCTCATTCTCTTTAGGTCTCTGAGTTTGCCATGTGCCAAAAGATTCTGGAATGTAGTGGGCACAACTCTTTACCTTTGGGGGTTTTTCAGACGTGGTGTTGAAGTAAGAAGAGAGGAATGCAACAGAGAGAAGTCCCCAACTGTGGAGTCAGCCGTGGGAGGGAAGCCTCCTTAACAGCCATGTGACCAGAAACAGACCACTTAATCATTCTGACCTCAGTTTCCCACCGCATAAGAAGCACTGTGCAGGGCTGTATGAGGGTTAAAGGAGGCTGTACAATCGCTGCCACTGAGCCTGGCACAGGGGGGGTGTCCTCTGGTTACCTTTCTCATTTGCAGCTGCTACAAGCAAAGCAACTGAGTACTCAAACCTTGTGTCACTAGGATTTGTGTGAGAGAAGCAAGGAAAGGTAATGGAGGACAACTTCCGTCCCTGATCCTGTTCCATGAACCTTTGGACCGTAACTGTGTTCCCAGAAAAAGTTACTGTTACCTACTCTTGCTTTTGACCCTGGGGTATGAAGATCCACGCAACAGATGCAGGCCAGTGTAGCCACTAAAGTGCTGGCCCTGGAGCCAGGCAGCCGGGGCCTGAGCCCTCCCTGCTCTAGCCTCGGCCCAGGTGGAGGAAGGTGACAAAATCTCAGCTGGTCCGCCCCTCACAGCAGGTGGCCTGGGCCTGGGTGCAGCTGGGCTGCAGACCTGGAGTTTGCCACCAGGTGGCATCAGGAGCAACTGTCCTCAGTGTTGTCCCCATTCCTGAGGAAATGGGGATTCCTCTCTGAGTCAAGTTGTTCAGCAGTTTGGGTCTGGGGCCGTGCAGGATGAGAGAGCCCGTGGGGATGCGGCCCCGGTAGGAGGGGAGAGCTCGACCCAGGGAACAGCATGTGAAAGTGCGTGGAACACTCAATTGGTACCAGACCCCTGGGTAACGGTCCCTGCTTCTTCCCCTGAAGGTGGGATAGTTCCCCATGCTCATCTCCCCGGTCTCCACCCCACCCCCAAAAAGAGCTCAGAGGGAGAATTTGTAGAGGCTCCAGCCTTCCCAGGCCAGTGGCAGGATTGGCTTCTGCTCCTCCCCAGCGGAAACCCCCACCACAGGACAATGGGGGGTAAGTCGGAAGCACCCTGTGAAGGTGTCCTATCCAGCCCTCGCTGCTGTGTGTGGCACCCGAACCTGGCTTCAGGGCTGCTGGCTCCCAGGCTGGCAGTTGTGCTGCTGGGGAGGGGCCGGTGTTGGTGTGGCTCCAGCATGTACCTTAAAGCATGCCCTGACTGCTTGAGCCCTTCCTGTGACTCCTGTGGCATGTCCTCTGCTGTGTGACTTGTGCCGGGGCCACAGACAGGTTACCACAGTCTGATTTACCTGAGGCAGAGACAAGCAGGGACTCAGGTGATCACAAAACTCTAAGCGCTCCAAAGAGTGATGTGCCAGATGCCACGGGGACCCAGAGAAAGGTGCACGTGTCTCATTTGTGCACATGGGGAGGTGGGCAACGCGGGCCGTGACGCTGGAGTTTGGCCCTGGCGGATCAGTGAGGGGCTTTCAGGCAGATGAAACAGGGAGAGCATTTCCTGCGGAAGCAGCAGGCCGTGCGAGGGCTGGAGCAGGGAGGCAGGCAGGAAGCGGGGCGGCTCCGAGGGGCCCGCACTGTGGCGCTGGGTGGTGGTAGGAGGCAGCTGGCAAGGGGGCCAGGTCACAGAGGGCTTTGATGGTCGGACCAGGGAATTTGGTCTTTATCGTGTAGACAGAAGAGGATCATTCCCGAGATCGAAGGGGCCTGAGCTGGGCAAGCACTGATGAGACCTGAGCTACAGAGAGGCAGTGGGTGAGGTGGGGCCAGGGCTCTAGGAGGCAGAACCTCTAAGCCTGGCAGCTGTGTGGTGGCCCCAGAGGTCATACAGCGGGTTGCTTTGCTGATTATTTCGTGGGGAGTGGAGCAGAGGAAGCCTCCTTTTTCTTAGACCCCTCGGCTCCTCCTCCACTGTCCTCAGGAACTTCCGGGGGGGGGGGGGGCGGGAGAATCAGGTGAATCCCACTTGTTTCTTTGTTTCTTCCAACCGAAGGGCAGTCTCTGGGCGCTACCCCCGTGTCTTCCCTCGTCCATCTCCGGTCTCTTGCCACATGGGTGGCCTGTTGGACTGAAGCTTCGAGACACATTCAGTGACTTACCCCTGGCAGTTTGGGCCTTGCATTGGTTGGGGGCACACCCGGTCTTCCCAGAGTAAACAGTGGGGTTTTTCACTGGGGGCTGGGCCACCCCAGGCCCAGGTCTTGGGGAGCTTTCTGGTGTGAGAAGCAGGATGAAGCCAGCGTTTCAGCGGGCGGTGAACCTGCAGGGTGTGGAAGGCAGTGAGTGAGATCTCTTAGCTGGGGCTCTTGCCATCAGCTCAGGACAGGAGCCACTGTCCAGGGGAGGGGCACGTGCAGGAGACAACGGGCCTCATCCCTGTCCTCATGGTCTGACCAGGACTCACAGAAACTAAGAAAACATCGGAACGGGGCAGCTCTGCGGCCCAGGAGTGGTTGGTGGGCTTCCGGGGTGGGCAGGGGCCGGGGGAGGTGGCACGGACGGACAGGGGCTGGCCCAGACCAGCCAGCAGGAACCGGACGCACAGTGGCAGCATGAGCAAAAACATTGACGTTGCTTCTGCACTAATTCCCAGGTGCTTGGGGCAGACCAGCCATGTGTGCCCCACTTTTCGGGGAGCCAGAGGAGGGGTTTTTCGCAGGGCCCAGGCCCAACCCTGCCCTTCTGACCCTCCCTGCTCTTGTCGCAGGTCCAGGCTGCTCCCCAGCAGCCTCCACCGGAAATGCTCCATCTTCCACCTCTTCGTCGCCTGTCTCTTGCTGGGCTTCCTCTCCCTGCTCTGGCTGCAGCTCAGCTGCTCTGGTGACATGGCCTGGGCAGCCAGGGCACAAGGGCAGGAGACCTCGGGCCCTCCCCGGGCCTGCCCCCCAGAGCCCCCACCTGAGCACTGGGAAGAAGACCCGTCGTGGGGGCCCCACCGCCTGGCAGTGCTGGTGCCCTTCCGTGAGCGCTTCGAGGAGCTTCTGGTCTTCGTGCCCCACATGCATCGCTTCCTGAGCAGGAAGAAGATCCCACACCACATCTACGTGCTCAACCAGGTGGATCATTTCAGGTAGGGAACCACCTGACCCAGCGCCCCCTCTCCAGAGGCCTCACCTTCCCCAGGCCTTTCGGGGCCTGTCCCCTTTTCTGGTGGCAGCCCCTGCTGGTGGGCTGCAGGCCTGTGAAAGGCCGCCTGGGTCCGTGGCAGGAGAGTGGGAGGCGGGACCCCTCTCACTGGGGCTAATGGAAATCCTTGGGGAGAATGTGGGGCTGGGGACGGCCTGGGTCTGATTTCCATTTTAAAATGTAGGCGCTGCGTGTGGAATAGATCACAGGAAAACTAGAGGAGGAGGAGGAGGGAGCGCTGTGGGTGTCCCTGGTGTCTGGGGCGGTGGGGCCTCGGCCGGCCTGGTGGAAGGGTGGGGGAAGCACAGACAGGGCCCGCCAGTGAGTTGGTTGTGAGGACGGGGATGGCGGGGGGGGGGGCGGGGGGAGCTGTCGCGGCTGTGGCGTGAAAGTTGTTCACAGGCTGGCGTGGATTCCGCCTGAAATCCTTGCCCTCACCAAACCTGCTCCCCTGCATGGTCAGGCGGAGCTGCTCACTCCCCATCCCCACCTTTCCCTCTAGCCCGCTCCCTCTGGAGACGCCAACAGTCCTTAGGTCCCATCAGGGCCTTTAGTCCAAGATGCTCCCAAATGTCACCGCCCACCCTCCTTTTCCTTGCTTTTTCCTGTCACTTGGTGCCCCTGGTCCTTTGTTAAAATCACTCCCCTGGCTACACTCAGCCCCCTGGCCCCTTTCTGCCTGGCGCAGCCTCTGCCTGAGGAAGCCTGACAGCTTACTCCCAGCTGCCCTGGGAGGCTGGGTGTGGCTGGGACCGTGATCCCAGCCCAGGAAGCTCCCCAGCCCTGCCCGAAAGCCTCGAATTCCTCTCGCCTGTGCCTTGCCCCTCTCCTCGCCCATCCTCCCTGCGGCTTTCTTCCTATTTGAGGAAACAGAACCAATTGGAAGAGAACTTGCCTGAGTCCCTACCCCTGGCCATGCATTGCCGGCGTCTGTGCTTCACTGTGGGCTCCTGTCCCTGCCCTCCCGCGGCACCGGCCCCCTTTCCTGCCCCCCCTCCCCCGCCGTCCCAGAACATCACCGCAGCTGTGGGCCCTTCCCTCCCCTGCACGACCAAGTTTTTCACCCCACCCGGAGCGTTTGCATCGGCATATAAAACACCACGTTGCCCACAGCCATTACCTCATTTCTATGCTCCCGTTTATTACAAAACTTCCGTTTCACCCCTCATTGTCTCTTGACCCTGCCCCGCTGAGATGTTTACCTGCATTGTGACATCACAGCAGCTCTCCCTGCCGTCCCCAGTGGCCCTTGTCCGCCGGCCTCTGCTGTCGTCTCCTGGGCAGCACTTGTAAGGGGGTTTCTTCTTCCTTCCCTGACCGCTGTGCCGCGCCAGGCAGCACGCGCTGCATCTCCTTCTTTCTCGCGGGTGTCTTCCCCCCACCCTCCCCCCATGCACTGGTTCTCCGTCACCTCCCTGATCCCCCAGGCGCACTGGTCCTGAGAGTCCCCTCGCCGGTACAGTCACTCCGGGGGGCACATCCAGGCTCAGGGCATTAAGTCCCACCTCTGCCCTGTGACTCCCAAGGCCTGGCCCTCTCCCAGGACTCCAGGCCTGCACATCCGGCCACCTGCGCAGCTCTCCATTTGCTGGTCTCGGGCGCCTAGAGCTTAACTTGATCGAAGCCGAGTCCTGATTTCCCACCAGCCCCAGACCTGCTCCTCCCCCACCCCCCCACCAGGAAGTGGCAACTCCATGCCTCCAGTTCCCAGGCCAAAGAGCCATGGAGCCATCGTCCACTGCCCCTTCTGCCTCTCACACAAGACGCGCAGGCCCTCAGCAGAGTCCATCTAGAACCTGCCCGCTCCGCACCGTCTGCCCTGCCACCTCCTGAGCTAAGGCACCATCTTCTGTTGCTTACATTATCATTAGCCTCTCAGCTCATGCCCTTGCTTCCACCTCGGCCCTGCAGTCTCTCCTCAGCACCCACCTGGAGTGACCCCGTGGCGCCCGAAGTCACAGCACGTCGTGTCTCTGCTCTAAGCCCTCCAGTGGCTCCCCATCTGGTCCAGGGCCAAAGCCCAAGCCGGGCAGGGGCCATCGTCCTCCGACCTCGCCCTCTAGGGTCCCCCCCCCCGCCCCCCGCCGCGCACCCTGCCCGGCCCCGGCCTCAGCAGGCACTCCCCTGCTCAGAGCGCCCTCCTCGCCTCCCGCAGGGCTCACTCCCTCAGGCCTCGGGCGCCTGCCGCAGGCACCCCGCGACCCTGACCTCCCTGCCCGCCGTCCCAAAGCCTGCCCCGAGCGTGCTTTGACTCTCTGCTTTCCTTTTCTCCACAGCACTCACCACCGTCTGGCTTGTTAAGTGTTTGCTTATGTGTTTATTTTCATCTATTGCTAGAATACAGGCTTTTTGAGGGCAGGGCTTTGATTTCTCACTGCTTCATCTCCTGTGCACTGAACAGTTCCTGGCACACAGTAGGTGCTCAGTAAACATTTGGGCGATGAGTGGAGGGACAGACGGGCGGCTGGGTAGCTCTGCAGTGATCTCCGTGCCGGCCCAGAGGCCACGTGGCCCCGGGCGGGTGCAGTAGAGGGCAGGCTCTCCTGCAGAGTCCGGGGAGCCAGCTCGTCGCCTGCACCCTGCCCAGCCTCGGCTGCCCTGCACAGGTTCAACCGGGCGGCACTCATCAACGTGGGCTTCCTGGAGAGCGGCAACAGCACGGACTACATCGCCATGCACGACGTGGACCTGCTCCCTCTCAACGAGGAGCTGGACTATGGCTTCCCGGAGGCAGGGCCCTTCCACGTGGCCTCCCCAGAGCTCCACCCGCTCTACCACTACAAGACCTATGTCGGCGGCATCCTGCTGCTCTCCAAGCAGCACTACCGGCTGGTGAGGCCCAGCCAGCCTGCCCTGCTGAGCCAGGGAGCGCCCGCCTGCAGGGGTGGGGGGCGCTGGCCAGAGGAGCAGCAGTTTTGGGGTTGAGCAGGGAACCCAGGAGCAGCCAGGGACAGGCTAGAGGAGCGGGAACAAGCAGGTCGGTTGGGGAGGGTTCCGCCGCAGCGACAGAACGCCAGTGAAAACTGACTTCAGAAGAGCCGGGCGCATTGGGGCTCAGCCTGGAAGAGTCTGGGTGGGGCTGAGAGGAGGGTGTGGCTTCCTGCGCGGCTCGCCCAGCCTCTTAGACCTGTCGCCAGGGCGCCACTTCTCTTCCTCTCTCTCGTTTCTACCTTTTTCAGGCTGGATTTTTTTTTAAAGATTTTATTTATTTAATTTTTAGAGAGAGGAGGAGGGAGGGAGAAAGTGAGGGAGAGAAACATCAGTGTGTGGTTGTCTCTCACGTGCCCCCCACCGGGGACCTGGCCTGCAACCCAGGCGTGTGCCCTGACTGGGAAGCGAACTGGTGACACTTTGGTTTGCAGGCGGGCACTCAGTTCACTGAGCCACACCAGCCAGGGCTAGGCCAGGTTTCTTTCCAGACTCCCAGGGTGAAGGGCGGTGATTGTAGTTGTAGCCTGTGTCTGTCTAGGCTCAAGGCCTTCCCCGACAGCCAGACCGGAGTCCCTGGGCTGTACCGCACCGGCTCTGGTCCGCCTGACGTGGGTCTGGCCGTCCCTGCCTCCATCGCTGTGGCCGGGGGCGGGTGGGAAGATCTGAGGAGCTTGGACCCGGGTCTCCGGCCCTGACACAAGGCTAATGCCAGCTTTAGGTAAATGAAGCCCCAAGTCTGGTGGCAAAAACCAGTGTCTGCCATGGAGCCCAGCTGTTCCTCTCCCACACAGAGGAAGAGACCAGGGCAGAGCCACCCCGGGAGAAGTGGGAATCGGCACTCTGCCCATCACCAGCTACCCAGAGAGGTCCCCTCCTGCCAGCCAAACGTTTTGGGGAAACAAATCAACTCCCACAAGTTCAAGGCCCCATTAGAGTGGGCAAAGGGCCTGGGATGGGCTGACTGTCCCCACCCCCGATGCCGCAGAGGTTGTGGGGACTGTGAGCATCTAGTGTCTGAACTGGAGTGGGAAGAGACCAGAGAGCCCCCGGGGCAGACGGGGCAGTGATGCCGCCTGTCTCTGTGTCAGTGCAACGGGATGTCCAACCGCTTCTGGGGCTGGGGCCGTGAGGATGACGAGTTCTACCGGCGCATCCAAGGAGCTGGGCTCCAGGTAACACCCCCAAGGCCCGCTCCCCCTCCCCCCATCATAGATGCCTGAGGCTCCCTTCTCTGCCCTCAGCTAAGTCCCTGGGGCTTGGAGATGGCATCCCTGGGGCTGATCCCAGCCCTGCCCCCAGCCAGCACGCCTCCTGCGCAGTGGGAGCACAGGGCCTGGGGCCTGTGGCCGGCCGTGGGGCCCCAGAGGACTGGTAGGGAGGGCCAGGGCGCCCGGAGGGGCGGCCTGACCCAGCTTCCTTTGGCCTCCTTAGCTATTCCGCCCTTCAGGAATCACAACTGGATACAAGACATTTCGCCACCTGCATGACCCAGCCTGGCGGAAGAGGGACCAGAAGCGCATTGCTGCTCAAAAACAGGTGCTGCCCGGCCTCCTGATTGGGGATGGATGGGTGGCGACATGGGAACCAACGGGCCCAAGCGTTTCGCCAAGTTCTCCTTGGGTCCCAATGGTCCTGTCCGCCCGTTTGGCCCAGCTCAGTTAATGGCATATTGTCCAGGCAGCCTGCCCTGCTTGGTGGCTACCATGGACCCCTGGGCACTGGTCAGCTGACCCCAATGCAGGCTGGCGGGGGGGACTCAGCTGCAGGTGCTGAACTTCCAGGCTGCCCTGCAGTCCCGCCCTTCCAACAGCCTCTTCCCTAGGAGCGTGTTAGCCCCAAACCCCCGCCCTCCTGCCCATGGGGGCGCACAGTTGTGGGCCAGGGCCCCCGCGGCCGTGGGCATCACTCCCCTCTGCAGGGGCTCACGGGGCCTCTGAAGGCAAGGTCCCGGGGCCGCAGTAGACAGCGGTAGTCACAAAGCCCTGAGGCCACGCACTCTCCCCTCTCCTCCCCAGGAGCAGTTCAAGGTGGACCGGGAGGGAGGCCTGAGCACTGTGAAGTACCGCGTGGAGGCCCGCACAGCCCTGTCTGTGGGCGGGGCCCCGTGCACCGTTCTCAACATCCTGTTGGACTGTGACAAGGCTGCTACCCCCTGGTGCACATTTGGCTGAGTTGGCTGGACAGTAAGAAGGCCAGTACCTATAGGCCACACTGCTACTCAGGCCCTGGACAAAGCCTCAGTTCCCGGGCCCAGTCTGATAGGACGTGGAGTGGCCTGAAGCAGCGGACAGCAAGCCACGTGTCTGCAGCCAGGGCAGGACACACAGGCCGCCGGGGACGCTGCTCGCAGTAAGCTGATGCGGGGGGCCGCTGCGGCGCCCGGCCGCCCCCTGCGCCCCACCTCTGCCTGCCCTGCTCTGTCTGCCTTCGCGCACCTGGATCTGTGGGCCTTGGTTCCCCACTCAGCACCACCTCGTACAGAGGTGAGGTGTAGAGGCAAGGCCGCCAAACACGTGGCCAGGGCCATTGGGAGGGTTAAAGTGCAGACAAGAGAGTACAGGCCCCACAGAAAGGGACACCGAGAGCCACTCTAGCTGGTGTCACACATGGGAATGTGGGCCTGGCATTGCTGGATCTTCTGATTTTTCAAGAGAAACTAGAATTCTGGATTCTTAAGTGAAATCAGTTAATTATTAAATAATAGCAGCTAATTAAAACTCAAAAAGTATGGCAATCCAAACAAAACACTTTGTCGGCCACCAGTTTGTCACCTGTGGCAGAGGGGAAGGGAATGGGACCAAAGCTGGCACCTCACCTAGTTATCAGATGACAAGGAGCCGGGGTTAGGGGAAGGCCAGGGGAAGCTCAGGCGGGAGAGGAGCCGAAGGCACAGGGCCCCTGCCCCCTCCCACAGCGCTCCAGCCTTTGCTGCCCTCGGGTGGTGGCTGGTGGCGGTCTGGCCCTCGTTGGGCTCTGACTCTGGGAGGGGTTTTGTCCCGCCAGGAGCAGGCCCACAGGACTCCACTCGGGGCAGGAAGACGCGCTGGCAATGACTCAGCTGTGGCTTGAGGGGGCGAGGACCGCGTTTCTGTCGCGGGAGGAGGAGGAGGATCCCTGGGGTGCTCCCACAGCACAGGGGAGATTCGCCTCCATCGCCTGAGGCCACCGCAGAGATGGAGGGGTGCCCAGGAGCTGAGGAGCCCAGGAGTGATCCTGGAGGGAGGCCTGGGGCGAGTGAGGGAGGGGCCCTGCAAAGCAAACCACTTATTTAAGACATTTGACTGCCAGAGATTTGGGGCAGAAGTCGGAGGAGACTTGGACCGCCCAGACTGCGCTGACAATGAATGGGACACCTGCCGAGCTGGAGGAAGGCAGGAGGCCCTAGAGCTAGTTCAGGAGGGTGAGTCACTAGCCCTGCTCCAGACCCCTCCCCAAGGACATTCTCCACTGCTTTGTGCGGTTGTGAGGGTGCGCACTGCACAACCTAAGCATAAGCCAAGAGATTTAAGAGAAGAGTGAAGGGTCAGACTCCACAGATTCAGATGTGTGACAGGGTCCACATGACCCTAAGTTGGTCTTAGCCAGTGGTTCAGCTTCACTCACCACAGTGAGGGGCAAACAAGCCGTGACTACTACATGCGAGGGTGTGGCTTTCTCACCCTGGGGCCCAGGACAGGGGAGTGGGGCGCACACTCTGTGTGCCAGTCTCCAGACAGCCCTGGCTGCACCATTGTGGACTTACCTTATGGGGAGGCAAAACTCCAGCCTCTTGGAGTTGGCGGGAATGGATGTGGCCCCAAAGCCCCCAGCTCTGTGCTCCTCTGGTGCATGACGAGACCTCTGTACCTGCCACGGGGACGTGGAACGAGCAGAAGGAAAGTGGGAGCAGCCGACCCGGCCGGGCTGGGGTGCTGCCTGTTGGCTGTTGCTGCCACGGCCATCATCGAGGCACAGGCCGGGCCTGATGCAGCACCTCCCTCCCCAGCCCGGGGCTCTGCCGGCTGCTCCAGGAGAGGGGGAGAGGGCCGAGCAAGGGGAAGCAGCAGCCAGCGGCCCTGCTTCCTCAGCGCCTTGGCTGCCTCGTCCACACAGTGGTGCTGACGGGCCATCCCACTGGCCAGGTGTGGAGGTGAATCCAGGATGAAGCAGCACTTGCTGAGCATTCACCAGATACAAAATGCTTTACAGCACATTATTTTACTAGGCCTCCCCACCCAAGAGCTAGATCCTACCTGTGAATATGTTCTGGAGCTGCAGACGGAGAAACACAGAGGGAGGTAGCTTGTCCCAGGTCAGAGAGCTGATACCTGGCGGTGCTTGGGACTTGGCCTTAGAGCCAGGTACCTTCACCCCCACCGTACAGTGGGTTCGTACACAGGTGTTCCTTCCCCTGCAGACCATCCCTCCTCTTCTCAGCTGGAGGGGGCCCTGGGGCGGGTGAGCCGCGGTAAGGTGTCCGTCCCACTTCCGGTGTGAAACCAAGGCCGTGGGGAGAGAAAAAGTGTCTCCCCCGTGCCTCCTGTGCCTGGGGGCGTGAGTGGGACAGAGCCCAGCACCTTGCCTGAGGCGCGCACAGGGTGTGCGAGGAAGGTCGCCCCAAGAAGGCGCTGTCCTGCTGCCGAGTCCGTGGGCCTCCCGGAGGGATCAGCACCAGCAAGGCAGAGCGGGGAGCGTTCGGGGCCTGGCAGCAGTTCCCAGAGGCCCTGGGCTGCCGGCACAGTGCCCGTGTGCGCGGGGGTGGGCGTCGGAGGGAAGGTGGGGTGACCCGTGAGGATCTGCGGACAGACGCCACCCTGAGCAACTGCACCTTATTCTCTGGGTTCAGTGTTTCACACGGGGAAGTTTCTGAGCAGGGGGGCCTGTGAGGGCCGGAGCTGGAATGGGGCAGTGAGGGCATGCGAAGGGGAAGGTCCGCAGGAGCCAGGCCTGACGGTACGCCTTCCCTCCCAGTGTCCACTTCCCCACCCACTTTCGCAAAGGCCAAATGGATGCACGCGGCCTTTCTGCTGTCTCAGCCCGCAGGCCTTGAGAGCGTTTTTAAAAAACTGACACTAAGGGGCAACTTTCACTTTCAGCCTCAGGAAGTAAAGGGTTTGGGAGTTGTTGTTCCTATGCTTTTAATAAGAAAAAAAATTCAAACTGAAAAATAACTACTTTTCTTGGTCCTATCAAAGAATTGAAATAATGCAAATCACCCCTCAAGGTGGAGAGCCGGGCAAATCCATCAGAGATGAGCTGGTCTAGAGCAGACGCCGCCGCAGTCACGTGGAAGGAGTGTGTAAGCAGTGATTGTGGCAAACGGATGTTGCACTCACTGACTGTGCCATCCTACTCAAGTTACAACCTCTCTGAGCTTCAATTTGGCCAAAGTTGTCAGAGGATTAAAAACATATTCAGCCCTGGCCAGTGTGGCTCGGTTGGTTGGAGCATTGTCCTGTAACCAAAAGGTTGTGGGTTTGATTCTCAGTCAGGGCACATACCTAGGTTGTGGTTTGGTCCTTGGTCTGGCAGCATACAACCCCTGGGCACGTAGGGGAAGCAGCTGGCCGACGCTCCTCTCACACTGATGATTCTCTCCAAAAGCAGTGAAAAAAAATGTTCTCAGCTGAGGATTTTTTTTCTTAAGTAAAAAAAAAAACAAAAAAAACCCAACATTCAAAGGTACGTAGCATGACATCCAATTTTTTTTTTTTTTTTTTGTATTTAGTGTCTTAGTCTGTTCAAGCTGCTATAACAAAAATACCACAAACCAGCTGGCTTAACCAACAAATATCCATCACAGTTCTGGAGGCTGACAAGTTCAAGATCAGGGCTCTGGCAGATTGTGCCTGGTGAGGGCCCACTCCCTGGTTCACAGGTGGCTATCTCTTTGCTGTGTGCTCTCTGTGGCAGAAGGAGCTCTCTAAGTCCTCTTCATCTGGACAAAAGTCCTTGATAAAGGGATTTTTAATCATTCCTGAGGACTCCACCCTTATGTCCTAGTCTCCTCCCGAAGGCCCTGCTCTTACAGAGCCCCGCCAGTGCTGTGCCAGAAAAGCTGTGGGGGTCGGTTGCCCGCTGCCAAGAAGTGTGACACCCAATTCAAGAGTTTGGTGAAAAAGGAAAGGGGTAAATGTTTATTTACAGCTTATACAGATTTAGAATAATGGCAGATTTCTGCTGTTAAGTCCTGCTCCCTTTAAAAAACACCCAAACACACATAGTCTTGCCTCCCTTTGCCAAACCAGGCTGGTTTCAGAATATGTTAGTCCCAGGGACCATCTTTCAGAAAAGCAGAAGTCTGCAGATTAGCGTTTGCGGTCACAGTTCAGCTCCCAGCAGCTCCCACAAACCGGGGAGGCTGGGCAGGCCTCGGTGGTTCGGCAACTCTGCCACTGGTTTCTCCAAGCAGACTCGAACCTGGGTGGCGCGCAGGTGTCCCGCTGCACCGCCAGCCCTCGTGACTCCCTAGGCTTCTGGCTTTCAGACCTCCTCTCTCTCACTCCAGGCCACGTTGCTCTCCCTCTTCTCTTACCCCAGACCAGATGGCCTCTTTTTTACCCTGACCTCATTGAAAATGCTCAGCCCAGAGCTTCCTGCATGACGTCATATCTGGCCCTCCTATGGTGTGTTAGTGTCCTCCCTTGTTGCCAGTTCTCCAGTATCTTTCACCTTCTTTTGGCTGCCATCTTTAATCATGGCAAAGGGATGGGCATCCACCCCTGCCTCTCGTGCAGACACTATACAAGCTCCCACAGCCGCCCCAGTCACAAGCCCCTCAATGTTCTCAGTCAGGTACACAATTCGCCCTGGGTGGCAGCTCTCTTCCCTTCAAGAAGGCACAGCTATTAACTTGCCATTGTTATGCAGCATGTCTCAGATGCCCTATAATCCACTCTTCCCTATGCCCAATCAAGGATTGTGGGGGATACACTCTGCACCCTGTTACACAACCTTATATATCACCTTGAGGGTTAGGTCTCAATAATGAATTTGGAGGTCATAAACATTCAGTCAATAGTATTTAGTCACTGGTATTTTACCACTACCAATTTCTTAGTTTCAACCAATGCACCATTGTTACATAAGATGTTAACCATAGGAGACGCTGGGTAAAGGCTGTACAGGAACTTTCTGTAATATCTTTACAATTTCTCTGTACACCTCAAGTATTCCCAAAGGAATTTTTAAAGTATATTTTATTGATTATGCTATTAGAGTTGTCCCATATTTTCTCCCCTTTATCCCCATCCACCCTGCAACCCCCTCCCGTAAGCATCCCCCCCTTGAGTTCATGTCCATGGGTCATGAATATGTAAGTTCTTTGGCTTCTCCATTTCCTACATTATTCTTAACCTCCCCCTATTTTGTGCCTAGCAATTATCCTTCTTATTCCCTGTCCCTTTTTCTCCAGTTCTCCCCTGACCTCCCCGCTGCTGATAACCCTCCATGTGATCTCCATTTCTGTGATTCTGTTCTTGTTCTAGTTGTTTCCTTAGTTTATGTTTTTTAAGTTCAGTTATTCATAGTTGTGAGTTTGCTGTCATTTTACTGTTCATAGTTTTGATCTTCTATTTCTTAGTTAAGTCCCTTTAACATTTCATATAATAAGGGCTTGGTGATGATGAACTTTATCTCATCTGGGAAGCACTTTATCTGCCTTTCCATTCTAAATTATAGCTTTGCTGGAGAGAGTAATCTTGGATGTAGGTCCTTGCCTTTCATGACATTGAATACTTCTTTCCAGTGCCTTTCTGCCTAAAAGC